CTCTCTCTCTCTCTCTCTCTCTCTCTCTCTCTCTCTCTCTCTCTCTCAGGATTAACTAGTCATTTAGTCAGATAGCTGCATAGAGGGGCTGAAACCCTCGTCGCTGGTGTATTAGCATTAACTTAGTTTGACTGGATTACCGTGACAAAGGGGACGATGACCACTTGTGATGCCGCCTACCTGAGCACAGTTAACACACCGTTTGAAATCCTGCGCTGCTAGCTCATAATTAAAAGAGACGAAGTGGGTGTGACAGCTGTTAACATTGATAAATTATGCACAATGAATGTGAGCGAATGATTTCCAGTTACTTCTCGTCTTCAAGTTCTTCAGAACAGGACAGTAAAGGTCTGTGAAGGGTTATCTGTAAGCATGTTTCAAAAAGGAAACATTTAAACAATGCGTTGATCTGTCCTGCTTTTCTTTGTGGTCTGTGTTTATCCCTCCGTCTCTGTGTGTGTCCATGCTCACACCCCACCCTGCTGCTGACATTAGCTACCACCTACGCTTTCTACAGGCTAGGGAAAATCCCAGGGTAGTGTGCGACCAGGCAGGCGCCACTGCTCTTAAAAGGTCATCGGACATCTCTCGTACGGGGAGCAAGCTGTTAGAAAGCGTGTCTGCAGACTGAACGATAAGCACACAACAAGTGGAACTAAACCACTGTGCTGAACCGACACGTGCCAAGAATGAGTAGAGGCCACGGTGGGCTAAACGATGAGCAGCCATGATCATAAAGCAGCTTTGACACGAGCCAACCTGTAAAGACCAGCGACACGGGCCGACCTCCTACCTCTCTATGACGTAGAAGTTGTCTCCGTCGTCGCCCTGGTCGATGACGTGGTCAAGGGGCTGAACCCGTAACTCAAACATGGCGTCCAGCACCTCCGAGAACTGCTCCTAGATGGGGGACAGAGAGGGAGGACGTCATGCACAAATGACACGAAGGAAGAAGGAGCTCTAGTGGAAATGTGTGTCTGGAGTTCAACTCGCAGCTCAAAATGGCATCTAGCTCATGCGAGTGCTGCTCCTGAGCGAGAGGAAAGTTAATTATCCCTGAAGGGGAAAGTACACAAGAGAAAGAAGAGGGGACATTTTCTTCATATCATGCGCATGTTTGTGCAATGTCAGTGAAATATGGTTGTCACTAGGGGCTTAAGTTCATCGTAATGACAGATTCATCATAGTAGATGCCAAGTGCTACATGGCTCACAATGGAAACAGAAATAGGTTTTTAAAAATATCAAATTCATTTAAGCCAAAACAAACAGGGATAGATCAGACATGTGATTTTTGGAATTGCTTTTTGCCAAGCAGGCAAGACAATCCATATCCAAATATAGTAGGGTTAAAGCCCAGTGGCTGTGTTACACCAACAAATACATAATAAGAACGTAGTAGCGTAGTAACATAGTAACACGGGCTTCTATGACAGAGGCAATAAGACGAGCAGAGTAGAGACTGTACTGGGTCGTGTACTTCTTTCATTGGTTCAAGTACTTCTTTTCTTCCCTTTTCTCTACTGTTCATTTAGTGAACTGCATTTATATCTTTTATTAAGCTGTCTTTGTATTATGCATCATCTGAGCTGCCCTAAGAGCAGATGCTTTATGTGTAGTTCCTGAGGAGAGTAATGTGCTGACCAGGAGGAAAAAAACCCTTTAAGTAGATCCAATGCAACACATCTGCTATTAATATTATTACTGTAATGAAAACCTGAATAAATGAATGGAGAAACTTAATAAATGCAGATGCTGTCACACATGACAAGCAGTCACTGAAGCTGTAAGCTAGTAATGCGTTGGTGTGTGTGTACGTGTATCTCTTCCTGTGTGTGTGTGTGTGTGTGTGTGTGTGTGTTACCTGTTCTAGTGTTTTGAACAGTAGGATGTCTCGGCAGGACTCTTGCAGTCTGAGGCGCTGCTCGTCTGTTTTCGGGTGAACCACTCTGGGCTCCGTGTCCTCGTCGTCGTCGTCTGGGTTGAATGCCTCCGCACACACTGGAGGGAGGACATGTAAACCCACTTCACACATTGCACCAACATGTCCTGTTTGATTACACTGTAATTAGACTGAGCAAACACTGCAGGTTGGAGAGTATTCTACGGAGGAGTTACAAAAACCAGAAAACATATAGCAACAATATCCGAATACCTAAACTGACACACACACACGGCCTAAAAGGAGGAGGGAGGAGATCATTACTGCAGGACACAGAGGGAGCCCAGAAGTGAGGAAATCACATGCCATGTTTCACCATACTGGCTGACAGACACTGACGAGGTCACTTCAAAGTGTCACTATGCGTCCATGTTTCTCCAAACTGTGTAGCGACACACTACACCCCTCACATGACATTTAGCACAAAACACCTGGAAGTCTGTGCGTGTGTGTGTGTGTGTGTGTGAGTGTAACATCTCATCTCTCAGCATTCACACCAGTCGTGTTTGGAGCAGTTCGGCCTCTGGAGTCGCAGCGTGTTAACTCCTTTAGTTCCGCTCGATCAGGCCGGTAGACACAACGGAGCAAATAAAAAAAAAAACTCTGCGCTCGGCCAACCAGAATGCGATGCGGTTAATTAAGCATGAGAACATTATCTGAACCGAGGACAAGATACGACACCAAAAACACAAGGCTTTTATGAGACACCGATGTTAGCATAAATAATCAGCTTTGTGTGTTCTTCATTAAAAATGTAAGATAAGGCAGAGAGCAGGTCCATCATGCTGAGCTTAAGTTGCAGGACTCGGATGCGTTTTGTTTCCTCCGAGCTGCCAAAGCCTCCATCTATCCCTGGCAGGATGACAGGACACCGAAAACACCTGCCAATACACGCACTACTTGTGAGTCTGCGTGTTCTTTGTTTACAAGTTCAGTTGTAACAGGGCAGCGCGATCAAAGTGAATGCAAATGTTCAATCAAGTCATCATTTCCACCCTGTTGTCAGGCCAAGGAAAATAAACCGATTGTGGCTTTATGTTTCTTGTGTAAGAAAACACAGACTCCTAATAGCGTTGAAGCCGTCCCCCTTCCTGAATGTAGAGAGCACGTGTCCGTGTACTTTTATATGAGGACTGTGAACCAGATCACTGAAGCCACATCACAGGTTCAGCTAAACACAACATTCGGATAACCATTTAAAAAGATATTTGAACCACCGTCCAGTGTAATGTTGACAACACCTTAGGCCGTAGAGACGTCAACTACGGGCCAGGATCCTAAATGTTCCACAACTCTATGAATGGGAATGAATTCCTGGAGCTGTTCAGTTGTTACGGCCTGCTTTTTTGGGGAGCAACTACTCTCCCATAACCTCTCTCATCTACAAATTCACTTACTGCTTTTCTACAACTCCTAAAAGGCTTTTAGAGTTATTCTGTGGATACGCATTTCTCTACCCTTAAGCCAAGGAAAGGCATAGTACTGAATATATCTGTGATCACCGGGGTAAATAACTGAACTTTAATATTGAATGTATGCAATATTAGAGATAAACCTATGATGAAAGCTCTAGCTCATATGGAAATAAGCAGATTTACTGATTGTTTTCTCAATAGAAAATGTATTGTCTGAAATAATGAAGCAAGTAAACAACAGCAGCAGTGTAAAGCTGCTCGTTAAAAGTTCAGTTAGAAAGTAAAGAACCGCCGTAAACCATAAGGCAGTCCAGCATAGTACTACTACAGACACACATTACAATGATCTGATTTACAAAACTTGTTGTGTTGGATTACATTACAATGTACGAGGACCTCTTTGTTTCAGCTAAGTGCGTCATGTTTTTCATTTAAGCTTTAATGAGCCTTCTTTCCTTGGGAGAAGTTGAAATGTGTCGACCTCAGAAAACACCACACACACACCTGCAAAACCTACTTTGTACGACTGGCAAACTGAATAAGGAGCTTTGTGGACACATCTCTGGGAAACATGATGAGCACCACGTTTACGCTCGGTCTTTGTTGTTGTATTAACACGATGTCTTCTTAAGGATCATTATACCTGACAACATTACCGCTACAGAGAAGGTCTACGTGTACCACACAAAGACACTTTGTTGACCACATCATAAAACAAAGACCTCTATACATACAGATGGATGTTACGTCTACAAAACAGTACAACAACTTGTACATATTAACAGCACAGAGTCCACACCTTTACGACACCGTGGTACAGACAGCAGGGTCAACAGTGACGGTAGGGCAGAAGTAAAGATAAACATCAGCAGACACACCCAGAGCCTAATCAAAGTGCAGCGCTCTGTGACGACTGACGACATTCAATTACTCATGTGTAAACACTAGACGGGTACGAAGAAGCGTGAGAAAACAAAAAGCGCCGTACACACAAGACCACAGGCGCCGAGAGAGAAACACAGTCACACAGAACCCCAAACCCTGTGTTTTTAAATCCAAGAGATAATGCGAATACACTCATTATCGAAACATCAGACAAACCGGTGCGTCTACTACTAGCCTCAACGTGCACGACACGCACAACAACGCAGACGCTGAGCCACCGTGGCAGTGATGTGTGCAGTGTCGTCTCTGGTGTGGATTACACTGACGGGACATGACGTCAAACATATGCATAAACACAGACATGCTGGGGAGCGTTCCTTACCTGACACTCTCCTGTTGAATCTGCTGGGTGGTGGAGCTATGGAGAGAGAGAGAGAGAGAGGAAGAGGAAGAGGTGACATTAACAGCATTGTTTTTACATAATGACATTTAATACGATTTTGTGATCACCATTATCTATGAACAGACGGTGTACATAACAATAACTGTAGCGAAAAAAGGAACAAGTGAGTCAGAGAGAAAAATACAGAGAGTCAAGCAGATAAAGGCAACAAGAGGGGAAGAGATAAAAAGTAGGACACACTCAAAGATGTAGGCAGACAAAACAGAGACGGAGCGTAATCACTCGGTGAGAAAACATGAGCCGAGAGAGAAACTGAGAACGAGTATTTTCATAAAGTGCATGTTTTCTTCACACACATGGATGCTGCTGTGAGCCGTGGCTACAGCCTCCAGCGTGACACACGTTACCTCTAACACATGGCAGCGGCATGTTTTCATGACCGCAAAGTGAAAGACTAATAAAACAAAAACATGATCAAACTCGGCAGCATTGATCACACAATGACAGATATGAGCAGGTTTACAAATAACATAATACGAGTCCTCATAGCGGTGTGGATAAGAAATAATGTGTTAGGAGAAAGAAAGGTTGAAAGGGTAATGGCGGTTATGTTAATATCAAATCTGTTACACTGTGGCTCCACTACACCATGTCCTAAACAGCTCCCATTAAATATAATCAGTCAGTCCGTCTGAACCACAGATTCACGGTTTGGTTGTGTTTTGTCCGTGCCAGTGTAGCCGGCCTCAAGCGGCTGCAATGCACAGATGCTTCAAAACACAAACATGAGCACTCAGATATTATTTGAGATAATAATCTCTTTAAGTTGACCCACGAGAACGCCACGTGGCTCTTACAGTAAGCCAGAGGAGGTCATACACTGATGTGACATCCAAATGTGACATGAGCCGGGGAAGAATAGCATATAGCTTAAATGTATCATCCTGTTATGAGAGTCTATGGAAATATGGAGAATCCATTCCATACAGGAATCAGGATATTAACAATAACACGTATGTGGAAGTTTGTTGGTGTAAGCATTTCTATTCTTTAGGTTAGTGTGTCACATACTTCTTATCCAGGCTCATACCTCTTGCCCATCTTGGCTGATTAACGAGGGTAGTTTACTAGTAAAATACTGAGGTGGGTAAGTATGTAAAAGCTCACATTATACATATGTTTAATCTTTAATTATGTTCAATTCAAATGAATAGAACACAATAGCTTTAATGCCTATGTCAGCAATCCTTTCACGTACCGACGTTGGAGCTCTCATTCTGTAATGAAACATCCATGTATCATTCCAGGCAATGATATCTAACCTTTCTTTGACCAATGTTTGTAACAACATCGAACCAAAACACAGGAGAAACATCCAGTGCAAGGCAGAGGATGCTTCCTGGAAAATGTGAAAACAGGAGCTGTAATCAAGTTAAATTTCTGGTCACGATTTCAGTGCCGTGCACTCGACGGTATTCATCAGAGTAGAGGCAGCCTGGAAGGACTCTGCTGGATATGAATATGCATCAGGGATAATAAAGTGGCACAACGTTTGTACAGTATGTGTGGTTGCACAGTCAACACGGTGTGTGTCTGCATTCCGGCCTTGGGCAGCTCTTGGGTGAGTCTATGAAAGTATCCTGATCTTGTGAATGTGTGTTAATGTACGCGCAAAGAGAGTGAGGTCAGGGTCCTAAACACCTGCTTTCTAACGCTGGGCTGTTACTAGCCAGCATGGTCATAGCTCATATGGCCCCCCCAATCTCCCCACACACACACACACACGAAGACGGGAGGAACTCTCACACACACCACTTTCCTCTGGTCACCTGGGGAGTTTAATACTCTGCTCTCCGTGGAGATCACGCTTTGCATCACTCAACACAGATCAAGCAACAGGATGATCTCGACCACAGCTGCAATGACATTTGCGTGGTCTGCAAGGGAATTTATTTTACTGTTCTTTTAGAGGACTTACTTAAAAAAAAAAAAAAAAAAAAAACCTGCTTGTACAGAATTACCCACTGCATCTCAACTCTATTTTTAAGCACGCGTCAACGATCACATACTTCAGGCACATTCAAACTTGTTTACCTCTTCTCCCATTCTGCTCGACCACATATTAGCCTTGATGACATCTACAACTTGGTAACTGCCCACCCGAAACACACCAAACAGCAGCTCAACTTGGCAGATTATTTGGATGGCAGGTATACAACATACTTTAGCTTGTCAGTTGTTGGCCAGTAATCCAAAAAGTTCACTGTTTACATGCTTTACTGTCTCTAATCACAAAGGCTCTGCTCCCTCTCTAACAGTCCATTCATCAGCATCATGCAAATATGCATCTGTAAGCCAAGTCTCAGGGCAGAACCTATCGCCCTCATATTCTAACAACTCAATTGCTTTTTAAGGATCGAAAGCAACCTCCAAACCGTGTCTGGTTGCCTGCCAACGAGACTGGCAGACACATCTACTAGCCACAGCCAAACCTGAGTGGGAAATGAGAGAAAACCGAGTCATATCTTTGAGTCTTCTTCTCCCTTTATCTCTTGCTTCTACTTTAACCTCATCCAAGCACTACAGAGTGTAGCCCACACCGCGGCAGTGCAACCAGAATTGCCTCTGCCCATTATAACCACAAGGCAACTGTTCTTTGTCCAACAGCAACTTCACATCACAAGCCGCTACAACACAAACACACGTTTAGATATCGTTCTCCATCAGCGTGATTCTTCATGTGCATATAGAAGATCACAGTCTGTCCACCCTTAAGCAATAGTAACAGACTCCAATGAGCTCTATTCTCTCCCCTCTCTGCCCCCCCCCTCTATCATTTATTGTATAGCTCGCCCCCTCAGCTGTCTCGAAGGAACAGACCTTCCTCCCCCGTATTGCTCCCAAAGTTTCATGACTCCTCTCCCTGCCTCCATCTTCTCTTTCTCTCCGAGTCTGGTGTCCCTTTCTCTCCTTAACCTCAATACACAGATTGGTCCTTGGAAGTTGCTTGTTTAGGGAATGTTAAAGAGGACCAATACAACACGAGGGACTATGATATTTTTAATTTCAACGTCTTAATCAGTTTATGACCAAGATGAAAGTCAAACCTTCATCATCATCATCATCGTCAAATCAAGCGCTTCCTAAACTAATAGGCAGCCACCAGAGGGCCATCAAGATGTTGTGGTTTCACTTTTGTTAATTTGCAGGAATGTAGCACGACGTGAAATTGATAGCAGTTCTCTGGTGATTTAATTTTGGGTAAATGGTTTAGCTACAAGTTTATTTTGCTTCTGTAAATGAGGAAGGACCTGTCTTACTCTAAAGCAAAGACTTGTACATCAGCAGGACTGTAGCACAGCACAGATGTGAAATGTAAAAGTCAAATCGGAATGTGAAATAAAAATATTTTGTCCGTATAATGAATTAATTGTGATAAGTAATCATGATCTAAATAATGGTGACAATCATTTTGTCCATTATCTTACTCTATTCTCATGCCAGCCCAGCCAAGCTGTGTGGTGCCAAAATATTAAACACCAGACTATTGTGTCTGGTAAATAACTATATATTTACATGTTTTCAAGGCCAATGAGATGCAGCTAGAGCCTCAGCTACCAAATCACAGCTGTGGACCTGACCCTGGCCTTTCACCTCATTGTATGGACAGAAAGAATACTGAAATACAGAAGAGCTGGGCTGATATGACTAAAAACTATACAGTAATATCCTTTAACATCACTCAACCTTCCACTCATTAGTCATCAGCTATCTATTCCCTGGTGCTTATGACTCCCGTTCTAACTTTAACATCTCTTCATCTTTCACTGCTCAACATTCACAGTAGACATTCTTTCACATGGACAGGGATTCTGTTCCTGTGAATATTTCATCCACCTCTTCCCATGACACCGATGTATCCACTCTAACATCTTCCAGTTTCTGCTTGTGGTAAAGCCATAGGTATATTGGTGGATGCACTACAATGCAAACAGTGTAGTTGGCAATGAAACGGATCACAGTACGAAGAGAACTGGGGGAGAACATCAGGGCCTGTGGCACCGGCCATGAACTACAAGGTCCCGGTTTGTGGCTGGGCGGGGCTTCCTGTCCCTCTCTCCCCTCATTGGCTGTCATCACTCAAAGAGAATATGGGCTTGAGGTAAAGCAGCATGCTGTTTAGTGTGACTAATTAATTATCTCTAAAGCAGAAAATGGATTTGTTACACATACATGACATTATATAAAAATACATTCATCCCTTATACAGCTTTAGAAAATGTCGAGCAGCAACAAGAGAGTACACAATGTGAGAAGAGTGGAATGAAACATGCAACACCACCGGTGTACTTTAAAGAGGTTTCCACAGGTGTTGTCATGATTTCTGTGAGTGATCATTTAATTTCAACTCTCCTAATTCCACTTTTTTTGTTTCCTTCAACACAGTCCCCTATGCCCTCTAAAACTATTATTTGCAGCATAACCACCTCCCAGGAGGACACATTCCAAACTGCTTAAAATGATTTGCTATGATCCGCGTCAAACTCATGAACAGGGTCAGATCTCTGCATGTACCGTAGCAAAGAGGCAGAGACCAACAGAAATGCATAAACTCTCTCACACACACCTGAGGATTTACACTAGACCCAAACACAGCAGGGAGCACTGATTTGACTTCATCGAGTTGTTTTTTTGGAGGCCGTTTTAAACCAAATGCATGATCAGCGCGTGTTCAGTCCCAGTGTTGAAGCCCATTTGAAATGAATCATGGATCGTCTATCAGTCACACAAAACGCAGTTTTGTCTGTCAAGAGCAAGTGGATATAATAAAAGTGTGTGTGTGTGTGTGTCGATGTGGGGGCTGTAAGTCTGAGTGTGCAACGTGTGAAGCGCTCTCCCTTCAGTCATGTGGCTGGGGGAGTTGGGGGTGGTAGTGATGGTGGCTGTATCAAGTGTACGGCTGAAGTTGCCTTGGAAACCTAACACAAAGAAGATCTCATCGCCATAACAATCCT